CATGCCGTCCCACGACCAACAGTCCCATCAACAGCCACAGCAGCAGCAACAGTACGTTCAGGTGAGCACCGGGAGTATGACCAGTGGTGCCCACGTACTCATCAATAACAGTGTCAACACGACTACAGCCAATACGACGAGCGCCAGTATATTACCGCCGTATTCACAGGCAGTCAGTAGTAATTGTAAGTATTTTTTGTATTAATTATTTGTTTTTTAATTAGAAATACAAAAGTTTTATCGTTTAATTTAAAACACAAAAGTTTTGATAAAGTTTTGGTGCATTGGTTTAGGGCATGAGTTTTGATTTGTGTGTATCAATGGTTTTGATTGTTTACGATTTGATTTGAAATGTCATTTGTTAACAAAAAATTATCTATTTTTTGCTAATTAAATAACTTTATTTTCACAATAGTCTATAGGTGTTCGTACCTATTGTTTAACATAACAAACATAATGTGATTGAAATTGATTGCAAGCAAACAAAATGAACAAAAAGTTTATTAGTTTTGTGTCAAAACTATTTTCATTATGGATATGAGGGTTGAGATGGGAATTGAGATAATGAAGTAAATTATGATCTAAAAAAATTATTATATAAATATTAAACTATTCTTTTGTCTCATGCTTTTTCGACTAATGGTTTGCATTAAAATTTCATAAAATAATAGGAAATATAGCGAAAAAAATAATAACACTGTAATAATCGGTGGCAAAAAAGTCTGCAACAAAACTATTATTGTTTTTTTGTGCGACACAAAAGTCACTAAAAATATATTCATTGCGTGCGGACACAAAATTAATGTGATTTTGAATATAGCTTTTTGTGTGGCATTCACTCGGAATGAAGTTTTAATTTAATATACATTTTGCCCGAAAAATAATGTAACAAAACAATGATTTTTGTGTTGCTTTTTGTTGAACGACCTGTCAGTCGATAAAATATTTTTTTCGCAAACACTTTGTGTCTAAAAAAGGAGAGAAATACAAATTTTTGTTGTTATATTTTACTCGCTTTTATAATTACATTAGTATTGAGACAATATTTTTTCACATCAATTATTGTGTGTTTTATATAATAAATGGAGACATTGTTAGCGAGGAGTACTGAAAAATTTATGTGTTTTTTGTGTAACTTTTTCACGAGAAGTGTTGTCTTGTAATAACTTTTAAACTTTTTTGTTTTGTTAGTTCTGTTGAAAATTTGCAGATATTTTTGTGTTTAAAAGTTTGTTTTATTTTGTTTGCATCTCTCTCTCTCTCTCTCTCTCTCTCTCTCTCTCCCTCTCTCTCCTTTTGATAAGTCGCTGAAAATGTATGAAAATATTTGAATACATAATAAAAATTCTAAAATTCTCTACAATATATTCTCTTAATTATATAATTTTAATTAATAAAATAGTTGCATGCTTCTCTCTCTCCTTTTGATAAGTCGCTGAAAATGTATGAAAATATTTGAATACATAATAAAAATTCTAAAATTCTCTACAATATATTCTCTTAATTATATAATTTTAATTAATATAATAGTTGCATGCTTGCAATTAATTAACTAGCCCTTAAATTAAACTTTTTATACGTAAATAATTATATTGGCTAATGTGTAGATAATTACAAATATTTGTAGTATATAAACAATTGTATTAAAGTATTTATATACTTTATTATAGACAGGGTATATTGTATGTACCGTTAGTAACACGAAAACAAAAACAAGTGTCACATAGGAATAAGTCCTCACAAAAATATTTATTCATTTTATTATAAGATATTCAAGTTTTTTACACTCACTTCAAAAATTGTGGCACAAAAACAAGTGTTATAAACATTTCGCTTAACTATATATAAGCCGGAGATCAGCAAAAAATAATTTGTTATGAAAAAAGTCATTTTCTGTACAAAAATACTTTTTCTCATAGAATTGAAATATTTATGATATTATTTGTGCGTTTCGTATGAATGAGACTTTTTTGGGGTATATTTGAGTACCTCTTAAATATGTACTTAATTTTTGAGCACAAAATCCTGTTTCACATCTCATCCCATGTTTTTGAGTGCACTTTCAGCATAAGAATCGCGTGTTTTATATAACTATTGTTTTGTAATGTTTTTTGCTAAATTAATAGTGAATTTTGCCAAATATTTATCTTAACATTTCTCAATTATTTAAACTTATTTTTACCAAGCAAATACAAAACCTCTATCTCGTGAATAATTGATTAATTAAATATAATTTGAGTCCATATCTATTTTCATGGTACATTAATATTTATATTAGTTATTCATTTGTGTTATAACTGGATAGTCAAATGATATTAATTTTTTGTTGGATTTAATGATGTTTACGTTAGTAATCATTGTAATGAGAAAAACACACAAAATCATATTAATTTGTTTTACTACTGAATTAATATAATAAACTTATACAAGTACTGAATTGAGTTTATTTAGAGGGTATTTCTAATGAACACCAGGAGTTGTGTTATTTTTGTCTGTATAGCTATTTCCCTTAAACTCAATTGTATTATTGGAAACATATGTCTAAATGTTGTCAAAATATGAAACATTAATTGCAATAACAATAACAATTGATTGTTGTTTGATATAAAAGCAGTTTTCATGTGAGACCCCACATAGTTTTATTTCAAAAACACACATCAATTAAATATTATTTTTTTCATCCATTCATAAAATTGTTTATCAAATGCACAGAATCTCTCTCTCACTCTCTCTCTCCCTCTCTCTCTCTCTCTCTCTCTCAGAATAATTCCTAATTAACACAGAATTTTAGTTTGAATTTCATTTGTTTTGAGTAAAAAACAAAATATATTAAATTAGCCTGTGTTAAAAATATCATCGATAGCCCCCTCCCCTCTATTAACCCTCAAAACTATTTGATATTCAATTCACATGTTATTTAAAAAATGTGAATAATATTGTTAACACTATTATAAGATATATGGCAATAAACAATTGCCTGATTATATCACTTATGGTAATCTAATTGCGGGGGAATTACTGTCAATTCTTCCGGTGCCGATAGTCTATGTACCGTATGCTCAGTACTGTACCGTAGTTTTCAAGTGTGTATTTCCAATGTTGAGTGCAATAATTTTTACATGACTCATACTTTGCTATATACAGTATCTAAAAGTATATAGGATATGCAATACACACGTAACATTATATTATGCAATATGTAGTTTAATACACGTATAAGAATTATATTAAAAAATAATGGACGTTAAAAAATAATATGATATTTATATGTTTAATATATTTATATTTTAAATCTATTATTTAAATTCAATTGTCTATTTTAATACTATATATTATTATGTGTATTTATGTATATAATGCAATATCATTGAATAAGTAGTATATTTTTTATTGCCATTAACTATATTTCTCATGAAATGTGTGTTTTATTAGTTTAGTTCACTGTATGCATGAATGTGTATAAAAATTGAAAATTATGTTCACATTTTATTAATATTCAATAATTGATAGTCTATTGAATTTCATCCATATAAATGTCTGCTAAACATAAATCAGATAAAACTCGTTCATATCGTATGAAATGTAAGATAAAAAATTGTGTGAATTTCATGTGCTTTTTATGCGAAGCAAATATTGAAAATATTTCAAATTTAATATCTCTATAAAAATTATTTCTAAATATTATTTTCTCTATTTCTTTATACACACAAAATGATAACTCAATTCCTAGAAAAATATATAATGTAAGAAAAAATTGCTAATGTTTTTTCATATACTTTTATTATTACAGTAGATGTGTGTGTTATTTCTCGGAAAATTATTTCCACATTTGTTATAATAGCATATTTTGTATCAATCATATGCCATTAAATTTCGCATTGAATTTCTCTATGAATTAATTGAATGAATGAGAGATTGAGATGTAATTATATTTCGCTTTATAAAATATATAGTAGCTATCATATAATTTTTAATTTTTCTAAACATACATCAGTATTATATTTTGTATCAGTAAATGTACACTGATTTTATTTACTGAAATTGAAAGTAAATTTTTGAATCTATATAAAAGGGTTAATAATTACAAATAATAAAAATATTACGGTTTCAACAAATAATTTGACGTTAAATACAAAATGTTTTTGAAAGTTTTAGTTACTGTATTATAAACCCATTAGTAAATATTATAAAATAGTATGCAAGTACTAACTACTACAATTATACAATCATAACATAAAATATATATTTACTGTACAGTATATGATTTATATAAAAATATAGAAATTTGTTTGACTTATAGTCTGATAATATTGACATTTTATTGTAGAGCCTAAATGTCTGGTAATAGCAGCCTGTTAGCATTTTATATAATGTTAACATTCCTTACTATAATTCACTTTTACACTGAATAAATTTAGTTTTATTTAAATGTGTATAATAGTTTTGAATTATTAAGTTTATATACGGTATATGCTTATTGAATAACTAGTATAATTTTATATATTATTTTCTTAATATCTACCAAACTATGAATAAAATTAAACAGAATATTCTCATCAAATATTGTTAGTATAAAAACCAAAGGAAATGATAAACAGGCACATTTTAATTATATACAAAACTTTATAATTATAGCAATATTTATATGAAACACAAAAACATAATACATTTGATAACTAATAAACTATTTTGTTATTTATAAACAGCGATATACCCGATGACCGTAAAAGTGGAGCCCCAGTCTGGCCAACACAAACACGCGGCCCCGTCCACGCGCACCGGTATGTCACCACCACTTAGCGGCCCCCTATCGCCAGTCCAGTCGTCATCGCTGGCACCCATCGATATGGCCGACCAGGAGAGGATCAAATTGGAGCGCAAAAGGCTGCGCAACCGGATCGCCGCCTCCAAGTGTAGGCGCCGTAAGCTCGAGAGGATCTCCCGGCTCGAGGATAAGGTGAAGGGCCTGAAGGGCGAGAACAGCGAGCTGTCCATTGTGGTCAATAAGCTCCGGGATCAGGTGTGCTCGCTCAAGCAACAGGTGATGGGCCATATCAAGTGCGGCTGTCAGCTCATGATGCCCCAGTAGCCTAGCTACCAGTCCCCCTCATACTCTGTCCAGTTGTACATTGATATTATGGTGGGTTACTGGCCCACACACGCATACACCCTCCACCCCATACACCCTACATACATACCTACCCCCTCTCGTCAGACACCAATTCATGTGAATTACATACAGACTTACATCTCATTGAAAATGCTATTGACTTAAAATTGACAGTAATTTTTGTTTTATTGGTTTTTATGTTTGAGACCATTATTTGCGTGTATTATACGAATGGAAATGTGTTTTAGTTTTGTTTTATTTAATGTATTATTATTAACATTATTATTATTAATACCTTTTAATTATAAGACTTATTATGATTTTAAGTTTTTTGTTTTAAAATTTAAGTCATTTTGATGACCAGATCTGTTCATTGGTTTAGTTTTATTTTGAGTGAAAATTTTTATTATTTATTATGTTTTGTCAAAAAATATTTTTAGTTTCAAAACATTTATGATTTTATTTGAAAACAGTTACCAAATTACATATTAGTTTTTTTTATTTTAAAGTTTATTATTATAAGTTTATATTAGTTTTATGCCTAAAATACTTTTGATTTGATTTCTGAAATTGTGATAAAAAAGTCTGAGATTTTTCACACATAAACATAAAATACACATAAAATGCAAACATTTGATTAATACGATTCTTAACTATACATACATTGAAAATGAACACAAAATTACTGCTTATTTACAATACTTTTTACATATATTTGATTCCCTTATAAATGCAAACAATTATTCTTAACACTGAATAAAGTGCCTAAAAATTGATAATTATTTTCTAATATACAAACAAACAATACAATGAAAACCTATTTTCAACGCAAATATTATTATACATAAAAATATTTGACATTATATTTCTTGGAAACGCTTTACTATTATTTTTACGAAATATAAAAGTAAATGAATTTCTCGAGAATTAAAATTTATTATTCAAAGTCTTTATGATATAAACATATATTTTTCACACACCTATTATCGACATTAAAAACAATTTATTATAAAATAATGAAAAAATTTTATTTATATATTTGAGAGATAATATGAACACAAATGAAGTGATTGTTTATAACGTAAATTAAATGAATATATTTAAAAATTCAGTGAAATTACACACAAACAAAAAGTCTTATAATTATTTGATATTATATTTTATATAAATTAATAATTAAATGATAAATAAATTGAAAGCAAATAAATATATTGTATTAAACTATAAAATTCTATGCATTATTACTAATGATAAAATGTATTATTGAGAAAATGAATATATATATAAATTATATAATAAAAATATTTTATGCATAAAAAGCTATCCAATAAAAGTAAATATATTGTATGTAAAAACTAATTAAAAACAATATTTTGTAATAACATTAAATGCAAAAAATATTTGGTCTTGTTTTTTGATACCTAGTATTAAAATATACTTTTTAATGCTTTCGTGTTTTCCATTCTTGAAAAACTTTGAATTTTGAAAAAATACCATAAAATCGCAGCAAATGTTTGTATAATGAATTCAAAAACCTATTGTCAAAACACCAAATAAACACACATTTCAATAGTGATCTGAAAATGTGAACAACAATTTACGGCCAAAACAATTGAGTCGTGAATTGTATTCATAAATTCACAAACAATTCATACCATTATTATTATATATTTCCATTTGATTTGTGAAACACCTATTTCTCGCTCTCCCTATGACTTCTTTTGTTATATAAACAAATGATTTGTTTTATTTTTGAATTTAATTTGTTTAAGTTTTATGTTTTTTTAATATTATTGATTATTATTATTGATTATGATTACCACTAATTTAACGATTATTTAAGAATTATAAATACAGTGAAGTAATGATTTCTTTTTGTTTTACTCATAACTTTTTAAATTATCTGTAAAAATGAATTTAATTTAAATAAAACAAAGTTTTTCCAAATACAATTTTTGGTGTATAAATAATTTATATGTTATTGAGTGAGTGAGTGAGTGAGTGAGTGAGTGAGTGAGAGAGAGAGAGAGAATTTAGACATTTAGCAGATTAAACATGTTATATCTCATCCCTATAATATTTATTAAATTTAATAAAATATTTTTGGTATATTATCTTAACCTAAATTCACGCAATGTTTAGACAAATTATGGCAATAAGTGAATAAAACTGCACTTTTAAAGTTACGAACGAAAAATAAAATTAATATAATATTTTAGCTATTGTTTAAACACAAGTAAAATATTTTATTTATTTTCAAAACTTATTTTTAATAAATAAAATCCTAAATTAAGGCCATATATTATATACAAACATGCATTGAGTAGTAGTATGTTTTGTATACAAAATAAATCTTTTATAAATAAATAATTTCATAGATTTTTGTTTTATTTTCTCATTTTTTCAATGGCTTATGAAATTATATTCAATTTTCGATGATTTTAATCGCTAATGATAATTGCTAGGTTTCACATTAATATTGCTAGTTAATTTAATTAATAATAATTTGCTAAATACCTAACATTTTATTAAATATCTCTATTTTGAAAGTTTTATTTAGCAAACCATGTAAAATAATTTATATCTCTAAAACTAGTAATAATGTTACAAATTAGTAAATCATAACATAACACTTATATTGTATAATTAAATGATATAATTGAAATTAAATGCATCTAAAGCTATTTAAGTGCATATACAAGTGTATTTTTAAAAATAATTATTATCATTATATAAAACTCATTAAACAAATAATATCCATTACAAATGTACTGAAAAATGTCAAATATTAATATTCAATGGAAAATATCCCGCGATTTTCATTGACACCGATTTTCCCTACACTTGAAAAACTTAAGCATCAAATACCAAAGTATTTATAAAATAAGAGATTTTCATAGAAAATATTTTAATATGAATTTTCTAAAAAATCTCATTATTTTCTCTCATTTCACTTTAAAAATATCGTAAAAATGTTTTATTTAGTCGACTGAGCCATCAAACGCTTGATTATAAATACGGCACTCGTTTTAAGCCATTATCTTATATCTAAGTACTGTTTAGTGTATAATAATAAGAAGAAATAAATATTTTCTCTCTCTCTCGACATGAGATTTGTGTTTCAATAGTGAAAATGAAGTTTTTTGTGAACAATTTTATTTCCATATTATCCTTGAAAATCTGTGTTTTAAAGCCTTGAAAACGCTATGCAATGCTAACGTGTGTTGTGAATGGAAATGAATGGTTTAAAAAACTTTTAATAACTTTTTTCTCCCTCTTCTCACTCTTTTACACAATATAAGTACCAATTATTCCCTCTCTCTCCCTCTCTCTCTCTCTCTCTCCCTCTCTCTCTCTCTCTCTCT